AATGGGTATTGGTCCAAATTAGAGACGAAATTATGAAGTTTCTAGAATGAGAATACAACATACCAAAACCTATGGGATAACTGCAAAGACACTTTTCAAAGGATGCTTGATAGTGGTAAATGCACATATGAAGAAGGAAGAGAGACTTTTGGTCAATACCCTCTCACAAAACCTTCAGTAATTTCAACAGAGTCAACAGAATAATCTTAATAGCAAAAGAAAAGAAATTATAAAAATCATGGCAATGATAATTGAGTGGGGAAAAAGGAAAACGTTGGAAAAAATCAGCTCAGTAAAAAACTGGTTCTTTGAAAGGATTAACAGAATCGACAAACCATTGGCAAGTCTAACAAAAGACAGGAAGGAGCAGACGTCAATATCCAAGTTGAGAGATGAAGCAGGGGAAATTAAAACAGACCCTAATGAAATTAAAGGACTATTCACACAGTATTGAGAAGAACCGTACTCCAAGGAATACAACAACTTGGAAGACATGGAAAAATACATGGAAACACAAATACATGGAGGCTAAGTGAGGCAGCCCACATTGAATTAACCAGAATCCAAACAGATGAAGATATTTTTGAGCCTGTGAACTGGTGCATATTGTTGTTGACTTTATGGATGGCCTGTCCTGATTTGACTGCTTATGGATGCGGACTTCACAAGGTTGCAACTGTAATGAAGATTTTTCACATCAAAAAAATATGATTGTCTCCTCAGAGCACTGGGTTGGTTGATGTAAGTAGGCAGTATAGAAATTGGATACCCAAAATTGGGTGGATAAAGACATGAAGTGGTTGGCTTACAAACGTTCATAGGTAGGGTAATATATTCATAGGATTATAGGATTAAGGTGTAGGTGTTACTTAACTGCAATTGTTAGGCATAGAATATTTTTATTTTGTTCACGTAAAAAAAGTTATGTTTAAATGAGGGTGGCACGTTTTTTAATTGTATGCATTTCAGTTTTATTCTATTATGTACAGATATGATTTTATTATTGTTCATTTGAAAACTATGTATATAGCTAAAGAATTGTGTACAGGTGCCAAATTGATAAGGGGTAGATTGTGATAATTAAGATTTATCATGCCAACCTGGCCAATGAATACAAGTGGGATTAATTGAAGGGTGGAGAGATAAATGACTTGGTGAGCCTCACCTTTCTGTTATCTTACTCTCTGATGGTCGTACCAGGGCAGCTGCCTTAGCTAGTTCCCTGCTTCAGCTGGCAAGGATCACTTCCTGTGAGACATCCCTGAGGAGAAGCCACATGGACCTACCCTGGATGCAGCCCTGGGTGCAGGAGCAGCCGCATGGAGACCCCTGCCAGTGCTGAGATGCTTACACACTGACTGAATCGGCTCATTGCATGTGTTTTGTGAGATAGAGGACTTTGTAGATCAGTGTCACACATATGGGCTAATGTCGGACTTCTGAGCTTGGACAGCACTGGGTTGGGATGCTTTCTCAATGTACACTTACCCTTTATATAAAACTCTCATAAAATATGAGTCTATGAGTCTATGAATTTTGTTTCTCTAGTCTACCCAGACTAACTTACTATCTATCTATTGATCTATTGATCTATCTATCAAATCATAAGTGTCCTGGTTTTGTCTAGCACATACATCATGCTTGGTAAAGTAGAGGGGGCAGAGAAAAGACGAAGACCTTCAACAAGATGTATTGACACAATGGGCTCAACCATAAGAATCATTGTGAGGATGGTGTAGGACCAGGTGGTATTTTGTTCAGTTGTTCATAGGGTCTCTATAAGCCAGAACTCACTTAACACCTAATAACAACATTTATTAATTTATTTATGAGGTATTTGTCTATTATTACTTTCTTAAGAATATAGTTGGCAGGTTTGGAATCATGCCTTTATTTTAATAAAATAAGTTAGGAATTCTTTTATCTTTTTCCTTATCTATAAAAGATTGTGGACAAGAATGTTCTGTATTTCTTTCTTAACTATTTAGATACAGTTATCAATAAAACCATTTAGACATGGATGTTTGTGAAGTGGTTTTTAATTACAGGTTTGATTTTATTATAAGGTATGATATAATCCCTACTTTTTAGTTTTAATTATTACAGTTAGAGAGTGTTTTGTCAAGTAATTTGCTTTTCATCTAAAATTTACTAGCATAAAGTGGTTTCATAATATTATCTTATTGAGCATTTAATGTATGAAGGACATGCAGTGGATGCTTGGGTTTTAGTTTCTACCACTGTTCTAGTAGCCCTGGTGATTTAGTGGTTACCAGTTGAACTACTAACTTGCAAGGTCAGAAGTTCCAAACCACCAGCCATTCAGGGTGCAAGACAGGGTTTTCTATCTTAAAGAGTTATCAGAAACTCACAAGGGCACTTCTACCCTATCCGATAATGCCTCTATGAGTTGGCATTGACTCGATGGCAATGAATTTGGTATCCTTAGAATTATCAAATGTCACCTGCAGACTACCTATTTTACTTCTAAAGAAGCTGATAAGGCTGCCTTTTTAGCAGACCAGGGATATATATAAACCTTAGATATACAAATGGGTTTTGAAATTGAACCTAACTGTAAACCCTAATAGAAGAGCAATTAGTTCTTAATTGTGTTCCTACTATATACTTGCCCTCTTGAAGTGATCATCAGTGATATGGGTGCTATACCATAGTGTGATAAAGAAATCAGATGGTGCCTAGCTATCAGAAAGAATAACATCTAAGGTCTTAAATGCTTGTCTTAAAACTGGCAACATCCAAGAGAAATGGCAGCTAAGTCCACACAAAAGGAGTACACAAGCCTGTGTGATCTAATGATTGTAAATAATAATAAAAAACAGAGGAGGTAATTGTATTGGAGCTTAAATTCTTAGCACACAGTTTGCAGAAGGTTATATGAATGACAGTGGAAGCATAAAATCCATTCACAAAATCTCCATATGGATTAAGCTTCCACTGAATTTCCTGGGACCATTGACCAAGGATGTGGATAATCTTGACCTCAGAGGTAGTTATGTAAAATTCAACCACTTATCCATTGTTTTTCTTTAGACCCATTTTGAATTTGTTCTAGTTTTTAGTTTTTTGTTTTCTTTTGCATTGAATTTTTCTGTTTAATTTGTTGTGGTGGTTGTGTTTTTTGTACAATTTTCTTTATATGAATTCCAAGACAGATAAATCTGTAGTAACTAAATTAATAGCTCCTTAGAGTTATGACAGGAGGCTGAGCAGAAATACAGAGCTAATAATAATAGATACAAGAATGAAGAAAATGATCCATAATTAATTATGATGGTGATTGTTCAATTTTAAGATATATTCAAAACATTGAATTGTATACTATGCAAATTATATGTCAATAACATGATTAACTGAAAAATAAAACATGAAAACTCCAGTATTTCAATTTCTGTATTCTGGAGAAATTTTCTGATTGTATTTCATAACCACTTTCCTGATGAATCATTTCACATGTATTTCAGGTAGATGAATAATTCCTTTGAAACAGTTTTCTATTTTATTTTCCTGGATATTCCCTTAAAAGTTTACAATTCTGATAAAGTCCAATCTATCTATATTTTCTTTTGCCACTAATATTTTTGATGTCCTCCCTAAGAAAGTATTGCCAAGTTGAAGTTTATAGATATTACTTCATTTGTCACAGTAGATTACTGTTTATAATGTTCATATGCATTTGGGTATATTAACAGGATTTGTTAGAATAGAAAGTATTATTTTATTGACATTTAATTCATACATCATACAATTCAGTAGTCAATCAAATGAAGAGGAGTTGTACACTCATCACCACAATCTACTTTAAGATATTTTCTTCTTTCTTGTAATTATTGATGTAAGCACTCAATTTCTCCCCAAACTTCTGTGCTATGGCTGTAACACAGAATTGTAATTATATTATATTTATGGTAATTATTAATGCAGTTACTGTCCCTATGGATTTACCTATTCTGTGTTTCATGTGCAGAAAAATACACTAAATACAACTAAGAAAGAAACAAAAAGCCCCCAACAATGAAAACATAAAATGGAGAAATACCTTAAAATGAATGTAGAAAACATTAAAAATGGGAACACATTGTCCTGTCTATAATATAGGAATGAAGAATATTTTATCCGAAGACTCAGACTCCCAGTATTATGAGACAAATGGTAGAGAAGTATAATTCATCTCTTAAGTTACCCATATTTTATTATTATTGCACACACACTAATATAAGCAAATGTAAGTGTATATAAATGCATTCAATAAGCTGTTCTCCATGAGTAATATTTATTAAATAGCTAAGAATGTTTGTAAACTGTTGAATATAAATGTCTTTTGTTGGATTCAAAATCTTTTATACATTCACTAACACCATTATTATCAATTATCAAATTGTCTTCATGCAATAGTTTTGTAGTACAGTGATAAGTCTATTCCTAACTAGATTTACAATATATTGCATCTTCTTGGGAGAGAGATTGGACTTTTACTCCCATAAACAATAATAGTCTCAGAAACCAATGAAGGGTTACTATGAATCAGCATTGATTTCATGGCAGCAAGTTTGTTTTTTATTATATAACATATGTTATATATGTAAAATATTTCATTATCTTTATGTTATAAATAAATACATCTATTATCATGTCAAAGAGGATATGAACATACCCGTTTTTTAAAAAGAAACAAAGGTATAATTTCTTTGTAGGTAACTGTCATTTCCCATTGTCTTCACAGCCAATTAGCCTGCATTTTAAATAGATTTGAATAGAAAATAAGAAGTAGCAAAAAGAGAGGAAAAACAGTGGAGGGAAGAATATTAAAATTTCTACTTATTCTATAATTTTTAAAAATTGTCATAGCAAATAGCCTTTTAAGTTACCCCTTCCATTCTTGCCATTAGTTATAGCAAGTCATGATTTACTTTAATATCACTATGATTCCATTTCTAACAGTCCAGAGACAAGACTAAATCAGTAATGGTTTTATAAGTTTACTTTGTTTCTGGGAAACAAGCATTTCTTGTGACTTTTGACATCTGGCCAGACTTCAGATATCTACTCTTCAGTTTTGACATAGCTGCTTTCATCTCTTTGTTCCTCAGAGTGTAAATGAGTGGGTTTAAGATGGGGGTAATAACAGTGTAGAAGACAGCCAGCACTTTGTCCACTGAATAACCACTAAAGGGCCACACATAGATGAAAATGCATGGTCCAAAGAAGAGTGTGACCACGGTGATGTGGGCAGTCAGTGTGGAGCGAGCCTTTGCCATGCTGGCAGAGGAGCGGTTCCTCACTGTGATGAGGATGACGGTGTAGGACACCACCAGGAGGAGGAAGGAACTCATGGAAAGAAAGCCACTGTCTGCTACTATCAGGAGGCTGACCACATACGTGTCAATGCAGGCCAGCTTGGTCACTAGAGGGAGGTCACAGAAGAAACTATCTACCTCATTAGGACCACAGAAAGGCAAGTTCACAGTAAATGCCAACTGACTAATTGTATGGATGAAACCAATACCCCATGGGATGACGACCAGAATAATGCACACGCGGTGGCTCATGATCGTCATATAGTGGAGAGGCTTGCATATAGCAACGTAACGGTCATAGGCCATGGACACAAGGAGTACCATTTCACCACCAGCAAAAAGATGCACACAAAAAATTTGAGCCATACAGGCTTCAAAAGATATAATCTTTTGCTCTAAAAGTAAGTCTGCAATCATTTTGGGGGTCGCAAATGAGGCCACACATACATCTATAAAAGAGAGATTTGCGAGCAGAAAGTACATAGGGGTGTGAAGGCGAGCATCGGAGGTCACAGTGAGGATGATCAGAAAGTTGCCCAGCAGGATAGCAAGGTAGAGGAGAGAGAAAATGACAAGCAAGAAGGGCCGGAGCTCTGGAGAACCCGAGAGTCCCAACAACACAAATTCAGTTACCCAAGAATAATTAGTCACATTCATTGATTTGAAAGGAACTTTTAGCTTCAGGTAAAGAGCCCCGGTGCTGTAGTGGATTAGGCGTTGTGCTGGTAAAATCAAAGTCAGCAGTTCAAACCCATCAGATGCTGTACAGGAGAAAAATGAGACTGTTTGCTCCTGTAAAGATTGTCTTGGAACCCTTAGGTGCACTTTTACTCTGTCGTCTAGTCCCACTCTGAATTGTAGTTCACTTGATGGTGGTGGATTATTTTGAGTTACCTGAATAGGAGAGAAAAAGAGGCTAATCAACTATACAGGGGCTTCATTTCTCAATTTTATTCATTTTTAGTGATTCTGAGTCTTGTGTCTGTATTTTCAGACATCCATAAGAATTGTGGAGACGGTACCTCATTCACCAATGAGACAAATAAAACTATGAGACACTGATCAATGCTTATCTAGAAAATTAAATGGTTGCTGCAATTATGAGGGGGAGCAGTTCAACTAATTGATTCATACTAATTTTATATTTAAGAACTTAAATCAACTGAAAATAAGTGTCTGGAAAGTTGTGTTGACCTCACAGAAATTCAACCTGAGAATCTACAGAGATAACAGAAATATTGTTTATTTTATTTTATTTTTACTAAGTAAAATAAGAACTCTTAAGAGGAAAATTTTATCTGCTACCAGAGGGGAATATAATTTTACAAAATCAATTTTGTTAGAAAGATGTTAGACATAGAAGAGTGTGTGGTATATAATTCTGTTTAAATAAAGTTCAAAGGTAGGCCAAACTAATTCATGTTATTAGAAGTTGAGTGGTTACCCTAATGGATAAAGGGGTAAAGAGAGTCATAGGAAAGGCTTGGAGTGTGTTAATAATGTTATTTTTATGTCACTATTATTGACTTTTTCAGGTGCCAAACAAAAGAAAGAATGCTTTCTTCCTTTTCCTTCGCAGTTTTAAAGATATCCTCCTGCTGTAACATTTGAAGCTCTATAATAAGGCAATGTGGACTTCTTAAAAAAATATCATGCAACTCACTGCAATAATTACCAGACAGTTACATAATTTGCATCCCAAAGACTTGAGATTTATTTAATAAATGAGTATTTTTCCAACTTTGAAGTTTTTGTTTAAAAGTTGCAGGTATAAGACAAAGGGTTCTGGGTATATCTTGGGGACAATTTAGTTTTTACATTTGCTCCAAAAGAAAATGTTTTCTGAAGAGAAAAAAGACCTCCCATTGCCTTCGAGCTGATTCCAACTCATAGCGACCCTAGAGGACAGAGTAGAACTGCTCTTGTGGGTTTGTGAGACCATAACTCTTTATGGGAGTAAGAAGCCTCATCTTTCTCTCTCAGAGCAGTTGGTGGTTTTGAACTGCTGACCTTGCAGTTAGCAGCCCAACAGGTAACACACTACACCACGATGGATAAAGAGATAGATATGGCAACTCCCTCTTCTTACTTAGGCTACCATTTTGGTAGCTTTCGACATATTTCCTAAGTCAAGACGTCCTTTTTTTCCCCAGCAGGTAAGAAATAGGTGTTGAACAACACGATCACTTCTCTTTACAATATAAATCCACTCTTTTGTAATTCATTCATTTAATAAGAAATTAAGCATCTACTTTGCCCAGAGTACCATGAGTCCTGATGGTAAATTGGGAATGTGTTGGGCTGCACACAGAAAAGTCAGCAGTTCAAAACCACTAGGCGTTCTCCCATATGTCAGCTTTCAGCACAGCACAGCTACCAAGAATCCTTCACAGGTGTTTTATGGAATTTGAACTAAATCTATGAACCTTATTCAGTATCTAGATTCTATTTTTTAATCGTGGGAATTTAATGAAAGATGTTTACATGAATAATGTTTGCCCTTACTGTGTAATGAGTGAGTTTTTGTAGTGCATCGGGGTGCATGTACAAGAGAGTAGGGAAAATGTTTCCGAAACAAAACTTGACAAATATTTGTAATGAAAATTAAATTTAAAGATTGCTATAATTGTGCTATAGAAACGATTCAAGTACTAAAAAAATTATACTGGGGGAAAAAAAGGTTAGTCTTGGAAACCTAGAAGGGCAGTTCTATCCCATCCTATAGGGTGGAACGGAGTTCACATTGACGCAATAACAGAAGTTTGCCCAGAGCACTGTGCCAGGCACTGGTTTATAACTCTCTCCCTCAAAGATCATTTATTAATACCAAAATCCCTAGTTCATTTAGAAAAAAGCATGTTCCTTACTAGATAAAACAAATATAACTTTATCATTTAATCAAGAGCTCTTTTAAGCACAATAAAATCATCCAATAGTAGTGAAAACAGAGAACTATTGGAATAAAATATTCTAGGTTAAAATCACATCAAGAATTGTCTGGATGGCACATGAGTTCAGTTTTCCCCGTTTAGCACTAATCAGTCTGTGGTCATTGTGAAGCTGCACAATTTCAAGCAAGTTCATTATCCTCAAGCATAATGTTGAGACTAATATTTCTCAACAAAAAGATTACGTAAGTCAGAGCTCATTCATCAATCGCAATGAGTGCACATGTGTAGATATTTTCAGTAATGTGTTATTTCAGATCAGACAGAGTAAGTACTTTCTGACAATTATAGGTACTCAAAGAGGATATGATGCAACTCATATGAAGAGGCTTCATATTTCATGAACATCTTGATGCCTCTTTGTACACGATTCAAAATTCCATTACCAAATATACTTATGGTAAGTTACACCAGATATATGGATAGTAAGTAGTGTAGTCATATGAGAAAACTAATATATCTAGATTGTTATTGTCAGATTGTCATATAAATTGTATTTGAATTCATTTTATTGTTATTCTAAATATTTAGTGGAAACAAGAAATACAATTAACTGAAAACAACTAGTTAAAATAAGATACACTTGGGAAAAAACGGCTTTCACTTTCCTGAAATAAAGCAAAGTGGACACATATTTCTGAAGGAAACCCACTGGGGTAGGTCACCGCGAGATCAGCAAGGTCAGCAATTTGAACCCAGCACCCACTGCAAATGAGAAAGCTAAAGCTTTTTGCTCTGCAATATTTACAGTCCCAGAAACCCACGAGGGTCAGTTCTACTCTGTCCTATAGGGTCACTACGAGTCAGAATCATCTCGATGGCAGGGAGTTTGGTTTTAGGAGTTTGGGACACTTCTTTCAGTCTGTAGTTATTAAGGTTTCTAAAAGTTTTCATTGTCAAATACATATGGCTAAAAACAAAAACAAGCAAATTCACTAAAACAAACAAGCAAAACCACTGACCTGATGCTGAGATGAGTCATAAAGGTGTTGCTAATGAGAAATGAAATAATGCAAAGTGATGTGGACAGTCTTCTAAGAAGTAAGATGATATCCTGATGGAAGCTCCTAGGTGGCGTGGGGGCCCCTTGAGCTGTCAGAAATCTGAAAGACAAAATAAATAAAAAGGTGCCAAAAGCAGTAATACCAAGTGCATCCATTTCCATCGTTGCTTCAAATTTAGCTTCATTGCTTCTACATTGCTTCTGCTGATAATTACAGTAAATGAGAAAATACATTGATAATCACAATGATTTGCAGAGATCTGTAAATCATAAAAGGAGCACTGGTTTTCGGATTGGGCTGCTAACCATAAGCTAAGCGGTTTGAAACCAGTCTCTGTGGCAGAAAGGCATTGCTTTCTGCTCTAGTGAAAAGTTAGTCTCAGCAACTCATGGAAGCAAGTCTACCCTACCCTAAAGGGTTGTGATCAGTGGGCATCGACTTTATGGCAATGAGTTTTCTAGATATTTCAAAATCAGTCACTTCTAACTAAAGGTCACATGAAGAAGATGCATTTCCCGGTCGGCATACCGGCTCATATTCTGGGAAGTGCTTGCCTTCCAACTTCCCAAAATATAAATGGAGTCCTTACAAGATCTCAAGGGTTAGCTCAGAAATTTTAGTGATGATTTTTTAAATAGCAATCCAATATTTTTATCAGTAAAAAAAAAATGCTAGTCAGCAATAGTAACCAAATACATTCTCCAATAGGTTTTAGGACGTGCTCCCAATGGCACCTACTGGTGCGTGATAACTACTGACGACTGCTGTCATCAGGCTGAAGCAGACTCAGAGCAAGCCTACAGAACAAGACAGAACTATCCCCATGAGCTTCCCAGACTGTAACTCTGTAGGGGACTCCCTCTGTCTCCTGCAGAGTGGCGGTGGTTTTGAACTGCTGACCTTGCAGTTAGCAGCCCAAATCATAGTCACTACACCACCAGGGTCCCTTGCTATACGATTAAGGTCTGTAAAGTCTCTCAAGAGTCAAAGTATGCAGTCAATTTGTCAACATTATGCTGAGAAGATTTTAAACTTCTTTTCTTCCTTTATCTAATATCCCCTTGATTTTACAGTGCACATAAAACTTTTCCTTTTCTCAGATTTTTTTGTTTGTATTTTAAATTAACTCATTGCCTTCAAGTCAATTCTGACTTATAGTGGCCCTATAGGACAAGGTAAAACTGCTCCTGTGGGTTTCCATGACAGTAACTCTTTACAGGAGTAAGAAACCTCCTCTTTCTTCCACAGAGCACCTGCGGGTTTCAAACTGCTGACCTTGCAGCTAGAAGCCCAATGTGTAACCAGTACACCACTAGGACTCCTCAAATAACTTGTCCTAAAATACATATAATTTAGTTTACAGTAATAGTGATAAGATTCTAAGTAGGCATAACAGAGGGAATATAGTTTTCTCTGAATACAGTACACAACAGATAATTCTTATTTTTGTGAGTTATTTTTTAACAGAATAAACAGAGGCCAATCTAAAGTATAAGTTTTAAAATAGCCTGAAGTCCAAATGAAGGAAAGATGTCCTATAGTAGCATATGCTATATATAGAGAGAGCATTAAACTATATTTAGAAAATCTGCATTCTACTAATTCTTATCACAGATGAACACACTTTAGGTAAACCATGCACCCTCCCAAGCACTCAGTTTTTCTTAGAAAACAAAATGGGGCAGAATTATCCCTTCTAAAATGATTCCTCCTGAATGTCTGATTAAAAAAAATAACCACCACAAACATAATGCCCAAAGAGTAAATCAATTAAATATTAAAAAATAATGTGACTGATGGAAAGAGTTTAAATATCAGATAAATAAACAAACCTAGTTTTAACCAATATACCCAGGGACTATTCACTCTGCAGAGGCAAGTGTTTGACCAACTATTTACAGACAAAATGGGTACAAAACCTGAGAAGAAGAAAGAACATAGAGAATTACTGACTCTCTCTCATTTCTCTCTGACAGAATCAGAACTCTAGCAAACACCGATCTCCCCTTGGCCTTGCCTTCTGCACACTTGCAGTGAAAGGACCCTTGTGAGGTTCGACTGGGTGCAGAACAAGGCAGACTTTCCAGACTTCACCGTGACCTCTGCCCTTTCCAGGATGTCATCAGCCGTTGAAGACAGGAAGAAGGAAAACCCTGACAGTGGGGGGAAGCTAATCAGATATCTGACGTCCTGATGGCGATGATGAGAGCAAGTGGTGATATACATGGGCCTAGAACACAATAGGCTCTCAAATAGAAGGAAGGTTGAGTGGGAAGGAGAGAAAGCAACATGTGAAGTTTTATATTATATTCAATAAGGTAATTGTATAATTCATTGTGATGATTGTCTTATCTCAGAAAAAAAGTTCTGAAAATATCCTATACAACAGCCACCTTTCTAATATCTAATGAATAAAAACAGATACCAATTTTCATCCTTTCAGAATGAAGGAAATGTCTAGAACATCTTCACACTAACATCTCCACAATATACTCACATAAATGCAAGTTATATATTTCATGTTATAGCTCTTCTTAATATAAGGTGACCAGATTTAAAGCAGGACACCATTGACTGGGGTGGGGGGTGGGGGGATAAAAAATTTGGTCTATATGGGCCAAATAGACCATTCCCTAGCTTGTCGGGCATTCTTTCCAAAACTCAGGACTTTTTTAAAATGCCAAAAATTGGGACTGTCCCGCCAAAAGCGGGACATCTGGTCACCTTATCTTAATAATTCAGGTAGGGCTATAGCAGTAAAATGATATTCTTTCAATTAATAATTGAAAAAATAGAGCTAGGTTCCCACCATGGCTATGTTTCTCCCAAAATTCTAAGTGCAGTTAAGTAATGTGAGCATGCAGAGTTGAGAAAAGTCAGAGTTCTTAGGACTTTGCTCAGAGAACCCAAACAGCTTCTTCTTGAATGAATTACTTGCTCTTTCATTTCCAATTTACTCCCTAATGAAGTGTTTTTAGATCTTAAAATATGCCTGTCCAACTTTGATATATCGGAAATTATATTACATTGATAACCATCTTTAAAAAATGAATAGATACATGAAACCCCACCTTATGGACTGTTCTTTGTACTTCATATTCTAATACTTCTTAAAAACTTAAAAGCAAGAAGTCATAAAAGGTATCCTATTGACCATTACTGTACTTTACTCATTTCTTCGTTCTAGACAACTTTTGAAAGCTAATCGATATTGCTTAACAAATAGTTAAATAACCTCTGAATAAGAAGTTTTAAAAAGAGCAGAGAAAATATATGATGATTGTAACACATCTCTTTTGGTTCATCTGATTCTGATTTTATTTCTGTCAGAAGTTTCTTTAAACCAGTGCAATGGGGGTGGCATATAGATAAAGAAGAGAAAAGGGGTCCCAATTTAAGGTGAAAACTCACCTCCTCTTTACTGACTTCCAGTTGACAACTTTGAATCTAAAAGATAATTTTTTCATTATTTCTCTATTCCAAGAAATCATATTCAAAATACATTTATAATACTTACATGTACAAGTCTCTACTTTCTCTGACTGTGATAAACACCTTCCATTTGTCTGTGACATTTCGTACTAAAATATTTGCAAACTATCCTGGACTTGCCGTATTTTAACCTGGTGCCCTGCAGGTTACTAATTGTGCTCAAAGTAAGTCTCTCAGCTCTGACTGAGATAGTGAGATCTATGAATCTTTTGACCTCAACCACACAATATAAAGCCTTCGGTCCTGCTGCCAGGAAACTCTTACCATAGGAGATGTGAGAATTCATCCATCAGAGATCTGTGAAGTCACCCTGCAGTGGGAATAATTAGGTTTTTAAAAAATAATTTCTCTTGACACTTTTTATCAACTGATTAGTACCCCTCAAAGAAGTACCCCTCAAAACAAAGGATTACTTGATTTCCACTCAAATGTCTATGCAGCAAAGTGATTGAAAAAAAAGTTTTATTGTAGTTTGAAGGAACATATACAGAGCAACTCAGTTTCCTATCAAACAGTTCAGATGCATTTTTTTCCTTGACAATGGTTATAATTCCCTCAACAGAGCAGCACCATTCCCACTTCCTCTCTGAATTTCCTGTTTCCATTGGCCCTTTTTCCTACCCTTGCTGTCTTTTGAGGTGTGTCTTTTGGCAAATGTTGCCTTTTTGGTCTCATAAGGGTGATTGTAAAAGGAGGTAAAACTCCCTGTTGTTATTCAATGTATAGGCTCTGTCGACTGCTTGGTTGATGGAGTCCTGGTGACATAGTTGGGTTGATAACCTCGAGGTGAGCAGTATGAACCCACCAGTCACTCCTCAGGAGGAAGATGCTCCCCTAAGATTCACTGTCCTGGAAACCTGCAGGAGCAATTCGACCCTGCCCTGTCGGATCGCCATGAGTCAGAATCAATTTGATGGCAAGGAGGATTTGTTTGTTTGTTTGACTGAAAGCTGATACCTACAGTTGGATTCAATTCCAAATTCAACAATATCACAGGGTCACAGTCTTGGAGTTCTGTTAGGTTTCTGGAGTGGTTTGTACCTCTGTTCTTTGCTTCCCATGCTGAAAGAATTCACGCTGAAGCACGTTGTGTAACCCAAGGGATTATGAAGGACAGGACAAGTTTCAGGTTTTACAGTCTCAAAGGGGTATACGCTATTCCTGGAAAGTGTGCCAAGCCATGCAGAAGCCATGCTGGGGTTCACAACTGGGCAGGAACAACCATGTGGAAGAGAGTACCCATATGTGCAGAGAGAAAGGAGCAAGTGGACGAGAGGGCAAGAGAGTGTGTGCCCTGTCTTTATTCTTGCCCACCCCTGGCTGGAGGAAGTGTGGTTGAAGGTATTGATTGACCTCATTGGCTGAGTTATGCCGACCTGGGTGATGTCATGAGCCTGGGCCCAGTTTGGGCACCCAGGTGTACTTCCCACCTGGCTCGGTGTGGGGGGTGGAGCGGGGAGGGGGCAGCTTGAGTATGGCCATGCTCAGTTAGAGGTCTTCCCATAGGTGTCCAAAGGCTGCCCAATCTCTTTCCAACCTCTTCTTTGGAGGCCTTTGCAAGCATTGGAGGGATAACTCCCTTGTCCCTAAGCTAGCTGTCTATTTCCTACTGAAGGAATATGGACCCAAATCTTTGGGGGTACTGGGCGATGATGTCTCTGACTGCTTCCTGTTGTCAAAAGAGGCTCAACATGGGGTTTGGGTCTACACACTTACTATTCTGTTGGGAGGAGTTGTCTACTTAGGGGCCCACAGTGGATGAGGTTAGGGTGATCCAGGCACTGGTGATCTTGGGGTTGGCAATCTTGACCTTGAGTCATTGGTGACCTAATGACTTCTGGAAGAAACAAAACAGGTGAACAGTTTAGGTGAGGCTAGGGCAAAGCGTGAGGTAGCAGTGCCCATGGAAGTGGGGGCTGTGTCAAACTGGAAGATTTGAAAAGAATCTCAGGAGCTATTAACATTGGCTTGACAAGCATGGGTACAAGTTTACTTCAAACACAGGAATAGTGTGAAAGCCTTTACTACCCTGTTTCCCTGAAAGCAAGACATCCCCTCAAAATAAAACCTACTTACAGTTTTGCCTCTTGCTAAAATATAAGGCATCCCCCCAAAAATAAGGGGCCCCAAAGCTACTGTAACTCTGGACTCTGGACCGTAGCGGTGGGTGCCACCGCGCAGCTCACTGTTGGCCACAGTGCAGCCAGAGCAGACAGGAAGTGTGAGGTCTGTTTTAATTAAACAATAAAACAATAACAATAAACGTGTTCCGTATTTTTCTTCATGGGAAAAATACGACATTCCCTGAAAATAAGACGTAGCACATCTTTGGGAGCAAAAATTAATATAAGACACTGTCTTATTTTCAGAGAAACAGGGTAGTTTAAAGACTGTTGTGGGACTGAGGTAGGGCTTTCTGAGGAGCACTTCTCTGTCTCAGGGTGTCAGCAAAACACCATCCAATGGTTCACAGGAGTACTTGTCTGCTTGCTCTGCTTCTGAGAGGTCTGGTTGCGATGGCTTCTGTGGTTTCACTTGTGAATGGTGGATCCAAGCACATATCCCTGGAACTTTAAGGGAAGGGGGGCATAGAGAGAATTACTGCAAAGGACCCTCCCAACTGGCTGGACCTGGGAATTGGGGGGCCCAACCTTCCAGGTTTTTATAAGAACTAGGTCTCTGGGCAGGCACAAGGGTGGTAGCTTTTCCTCCCCGTGTGCCTGGATGAGCCCATATTGATGGAATGTCTCCTGGAATTGGGCTACCCTTATGGGATATTGCTGTATTAAAGCTACCTCAGAGTCTATAGCTGACTCTCTTACAAGGAAAGGTCACCCAACAAAACTTCATAGGGGTTTAAATGTAGGTTGCCGTGGGGCAATTCTGAGACGTAACACAACTATTGGCAATGCATTTTTCCAGTGCATTTGTGTTTCTTGTGTCAGTTTCCTGGGGGTTAGCTTTAAGTGTTGGTTAAGGGTCTCTCCTTGCCCTGAGGACTGTGGCCACCTGCCTCGGTGGAGATGGTAAGTTATTCCTAAGTGTTGAGAGAATGACTGAATGATTTGGGAGATGGCATCAGGCCCATTATCATGTTGCCATGATTTGGGAAGCCCAAATTGAAGAATTATTTCCTGAAGTTACCTTTTAGACACTTTGTGAACCTTGTCAGTGCTGGTGGGATATGTTTCAATCCACATGGTAAAAATGGGGATAAACACTAGAAAATACTTGACCACTTGGAGGGCCGGAACCTGGGTAAAATCTCTCTGACAGTCTTCCTCAGGGTAGGATCCCTTGCTTGAAAAGGCTGAGCAAGGTTATTTCTAAGTACCCTTGGGGAGTGCTAGTCTGGCAGGTAGGACAGTGAGCAGTTACTGACTTGACAGTGGTGGTTAAGTTGGCCCCACAGAACTGTTGAGTGAGAAGTCAGGGAGGGTTTATAGCTAAGATGGGTGGTGTTGTGGAAAGCTTTTATAACTTCCCACTGTTCCTGCGTGGGGCTTAGCAGCTCTTCTGCATTAAGGATCATGTGGAAAGCTATACTGGGACTAGTAAGAGGCCCTGTGACTAGGTAGGTGTGCAGCTAGCACAATAAATTTCAGCCTAGAAGAGTGGCTAGACATTGGGGGACAACCAGAAAGCTAAGAGAGAAGTAAAAGTTGTCCCAGAGACACCTTCAGGGTTCCATAAGGTGCTTGACTATAGGTTTTTCCAGACACTCCCGAGATGGGCATGTGTGTGGTGCCAGAGGGTCGGGAAGAAGGTAAGGAAAGAGCAGACAGCCCCAATATCTAGGTGGAAATGTATTGACCTACCTGCCACAGGTAGGTTCACCTGAAGCTCCAGACCAGAAAAAGCTATCTCCTGCTGCTGGGCCATCCCGACTGGGCTGTTTCAATCCTCAATTAGCACCTGCACACTCCCCTGGGGGCAGCTCCCCTCCTGGGTCTTCACCATAGGACAGAGCACTGCCCAATGGCCAGTTTGTTTGCAGTGGTAGCGTGGTTGTCATGGAGGCCTGTTCCAGTTAGGGCAATCCCTTGCCCAGTGATCTGGGCAAAGGCACATACTATACCTAGTGCCTTGTTCAGGGGTCTTGAACACCTGGGAGGCAGTGGCTGGGCATTGGTTAGCAATGGCAGCCAGTATCTGTGCATGTCTAGCGCTCTTCCTTCTCTCCTCTTGAGCCTGGCCTTCCTGCTCCTTGTCCCTATCATAAAAGGCCGCATTGGCACTAGTGGCTATCTCTTCAAGGGTCACTCCTTCAGGCTTTTGCACTAACTTCTGGAACTTTTTTCGGATGTCTGATGCAACCTGTGTGAGAAATTGGGCTTGCCCTTCATATGAGTCTAAGTCTACCATGGTATGATTCTTCAGGGCTTCTCTCAGCCGTGCTAAGAAACTTACGGGATTTCCATTAGGCCCCTGGTTAATGGTGGTCACTCTAGTGTAGTTAATGGCCTTTTGCTGCCCTGACTTTAGTCCATTTCTGACACACACAAGAAAATGTTCCAATGCCCACCTGTCAGTGGGATTATTATGATCCCAGGTGGGGGCAATGGAGGCACAGCTGTTTCTCCTATTTTATACCTTTCATTCATCACGTGTAAACTTTGTTAACTTTCTAGCTAACCTTTAGCACTTGCTCTTTCTCATAATCTGTCCCAGAATGATGAATTACATCCTTCAAGCTAAGTCATAGGCTAAGGTGAGGTGCTGACAGGTATCTATGTACTGTTCTGGACTGTCTGAATAACTGCCTAGGTCACTCTTAATCTGCTTGAGTTTGATTAGGGTGAAAGACTTGTGAATTGTTCCAGAAAGAAATTTCCCAGCTGCCTTGATCAAGGGTAGAACTCTTATGGGGCCACCCCTTCCCCCTCCAGCTTCCATAGGTTCAGGGACCAAGGGTAGTATGGTTGGGCTGGGGGTAGAGAGGCCTTCAGCTTTGGGGTCCTTCGTACAATTGGAA